AGTCAAGAAATCAAATGACGTATTGCATTAGGCAAATCTGCTGCACAAGACCTTTTTAAAGTGTTGAAGAGCAAAGATGTCAGCTTGAGGACCAAGATATGCCTGACCCAAGCCATGATATTTTCAATAACCTCATATGCATGCGAAAGCTGGACAGTGAATAAGGAAGACCATAGAAGAATTAATGCTTTTGCATTATGGTGTTGGAGGAGAGTGTTGAAGGTGCCATGGGATGCCAAAAGAATCAATAGATCCATTTTGGAAGAAGTGCAGCCAGAGTTCTTGGAGGCCAGGATGGCCAAACTTCATCTCTCATACTTCAGACATATTGTCAGGAGGGACCAGTCACTGGAGAAGGATATCATGTTTGATAAGGGGGAGGGCCAGAGAAAAAGAGGAAGACCCCCAATGAGATGGATTGACCAGGTGGCAGCATCGATGGACTCAAGTGTGGCAACAGTAGTGAGGTTGGCCCAGGATCAGGCAGTGTTTCGTTCTGCTGTGCATAAGGTCATACATAGTGACCTTTATAGACATGAGCTTGAACTAGAATCTGAGATGAGGTTGTACCCCAAAAGCCTATTAAAAGTCAAGTCCAGTCTCACTGAAGACAGGCATGATTACTGGTTTCTGAGTGAGTTTAATTGGACATTGGGAAGCTCAGGGCCCAATCCTCTTCTGAAGAAGTTTGAGCCCTAACCCAGGACTACACGGACAAGCATCTTAGGTTAAGCTAAAAGTTATAGTTACTAGTTGCCATTGAATCGGCTCCAATTCAAGGTGACCTTAGGGAGAGGAGAGCAAAATGTGGCCCAGTCCTGATCCACCTTTACAATCACTGGTTTGCTCAAGACCGTTGTTGTGGCCACTGTGATTTCTGAGTGCCTCCCAGCCTCAGAGGCTCATCTTCCAGCATTCTGTCTGCCAATAGTCTGTGGTGATCCCTGAGCTACTTTTCAGAAGTAAGTCACCAGGCTTCTCTTTCTCCTGTCCAGCCTGGGTGATCCTGGTGGTATTTGAAATACTGGTGGCACAGCTTCCAGCGTCACAGTCTCAGTTGATAGAACTGAAGACAGACTTTGGGAAATGCAGGCGTGTGGGAACAGCTAAGCGGGAGGCCACCGGCTCTGGAGTTGCCCAGGTACTTGGGCTTCAAACTAAGTTGGTCCCTTAATCGCTTCACGTCAAAAGAAGGGTTCAAGTTCTTCCTCCTGAGTTGTTGCAGAATTCTGACTGAGCAAGACACCAAAGTCAGACCAGCAACTAAGGGACTCCCAGGTTCAATACGAGCCACACGGACAAGGCTGGGTGTGAAAAACCAGAAGGAGGCTGCAAAACATGGTAGGGAAAGGTGGCCACTGGTGGGAAGGGGCCCTGCTTCTTTGACTTGGCAAAGAGGACTAAGCTCGGCACGCCTGTACCTGCCCACCCTACCTTCCTGGGTCCCCTCACTCTTCTCTAGTGATTCGTGGCTATCATTTCCCTAAGACTGAACTCAAATCTTACTTTCCCTTGGCAGCCTCCTTTAGTTCCTTGCTATGGAAAGCATGGATTCTCCAACCAGCACCCTCAGCACCACCTGGGAACTTGTTAGAAATGCAAATCCCAGGCCCCACCCAGACCTAGAACCTGCATTTAACAAGGCACCCTGTTGGTTGGTTTCACATTCAAGTCTGAGAAACTCCACTCGGGTTTTCTCCTGTGTGCCCCAACATGCCCACGTGTGTCCTGGGCCCTGGCAGGAGGGCCATGAGAACAGTTGATTCAACGACCCCTGGCACCTGGGTGGGGTAGGGGAGGCTGTGGAAATGAAGCTACTTGCAGTCTCCTTGGCTTTGGGCACACAAGGGATGGGAAGTCTCAGTGGGCAGGGTGTTCTTCAGACGGGCTACTTGGGCAGGTGCTACCACGAACAAGTTGTCCACCATAGTTGGGAGAGAAGAGCCTGCTCCTCGTGTCCCTGGTGTCTCTTACCTCACTCAGCTTCTCAGGACTGAAGGCAGGAGTCAGGACACCTCGGACCTCCTCCCACCTTTTGTCACGTAGAAACAGAACACTGTCAGCTACTGGCTTGGTCTCCAAGCCCGATGCCTGATGGTAAGCAATAGAGAGAGAGAGCATGTTAAGACATGATGTCACCTCAGGAAGCAGTCCAGGTTCTCAACAGACACCATGGTGAATATCCACCAAAGACCAACAACTGCCATCACTTAGGATGCGGAAGAACATGAAGAATGGGTCTGAAGATAGACAGTCAAGTGCCAGGGCAGCCTGTACTACCCGCAGCTGAGAGAGGACCTCCTGAGGAGTAAACCAAGTTTCCTGGGCATGAGCTGGTTGCCCTTGACTTGAGTTCTCAGGCCTGTCCTTTGTGGCTTCATTAGGTTGGACCAGGAGTTTGACAAGAGTCATGAGTGTGAATCCTTGGTGTGTAGGAGGAGGGGGAGGGGTGCAGAAGTGGGAAGGGAGACAAAGGAGAGTCCAACAGACCCTGTCCCTGCAGAGCTGATGCCATGAGAACGTCTTTCAAGATGTTCCTGTAACCTTTCATTCACTCATTCATTTTTCTCATTCCACACACACTTGTGGGAGGCCTGACCCATATGAGGGTCTGAGTGTGGCATGTTGAACACAGAAGACACTGTTCTAGCCCACAAGGAGTTGATAGGGTTTATGAGAAAATGTGTTATGGTCAGGGACAGATTAGGACCCCTGGGCCTCTCTTGCACTGGCTTCATGTCCACCCCTTTGCTCTGGGCCTGCACCTACTAGGTGGGAATCAGGAGAAGGAGGAGACATCTTTAGTCCAAACAAAATAACTGAACATCTAACTACAACTATCCCAGACACACCTCCCAATGCACAAATACAGAACAGAGAAAATGGTGTCCTTAAACAACCTAAGACGTTGAAGGGGTCTTTGTAATATCATTACCATATGTTACTTCCCATGCATACAATTAAAAACCTGGGAAATGAGGGAAGGAGCATTCCTAAGTCTGAGTAGTACCAAGGGTGATGTGGTCAACCCGGACTGCCCAGACCACTCCCCTGGGCAGAGCCCACCCCTGGAGGAGGAGACTCCAAACTCTCTTACAGGCCAACATAGCCCAAACCCACAAGGTCTTCTCCACTCACAGAGACAGACCCACTTCTGTCTTTGAAGTGTACTTTCACTTTGTAATAAACTGCTTCTGAGTGAAGGCTCATTGTACACATGTAATTGAGAAACAGCAACTCAGTGTGGCTGATTCTTCAGATTCCTGAGACAGGGGGGCCAGGGTGGACCTGACATTATGAAGGGAAACATGGGGCAAGATGAGAAAATAGTGGATGGAGGCTCCTCTGAGGAGAATGTCAGCTGAGCTGGGAATCCTGTAACAGATGACAGGCTACTCTGGTCTTTCCAGATCACAACAAATGGTCAAAGATGGGACCCCAAGTTGACCAGCGCACCCCAGCTCTGTGTCTGCAGGGCAGGGGAGGTGGGAGGGTGGACCAGACACTCTTCAGAATCACATGTGATGATGCCGTCGGGCGATTTCTCTTCACTGCTTTAATTATACTTGAAACATCAAACAAGCCATCATCATTCCAAAGCCTGATAAAAACTCCTGTATAAAGGAAAACGGTAATTTTCTGATCAAATATGAACACTCAAAATAAGCCATGAAGCACAGCCACAGCCCATCTGGGGGATTTAATTATATATTAGCACCAAGTTGCTGGGATATTTTTCAGTAGCAGACCCCTTACCACATTTAGAATGAAATTTTATAGGATGTCACAAAAACTAAACAGGACTGGTTTAGGAGAATTGTTGGAAAAATAGCCATTTGAGGAAATCATATGTTATGCATATTTATGTACCGGCAAAAACCCGGTCATGTGCCATGCTTTGTGTAACCAGGCATTTCATTCCAAGGAAAGCTGGCTGGTTGACGTGGGTTGGAACCAACTCAACGGCTCTTAACAACAATCTTAAACTAAGGTTTAACTATAACAAAATAGCCTGATTTATGAAATAATCCTCTCTGTTGTCTACTCGATTTCCTGTTTCTCTGTTGTGTCTTCCTTTTCAGTTCCTCCTCCTTGCCCACCCTAGATTAGATTAGATTAGATTACAGACAATCTAATTACAGACAAGGGTCTAGATTACAGACTAGATTACAGACAAGGGTCAAGAGGGGTTGGGTTTGGTCTCTCTCCTTGATATTTTTGTCTTGCCCTGGCCGGATGAGTCTGACCTCGATGTGATATGATCAAGAAACCCTAGTGTGCTGTAGATTAGGTGTTGGGCTAACATCAAGGTTGGCAGTTCAAACCCACCAACTGCTCCATGGAAGCAACATGAGGCTGGCTGTTCCCATAAAGATTTATAGTCTTGGAAACCGTGTATAGGGTCTCTATGAGTTCTATCTCAATGGCAACGAGTTGCTTTTTGGGATATATCAGGACCATTCTCAAGTATCTCCTTCATCAGTGTGGAAGTCCCACTAGAGTCTCACGTTCTCATAGCAATGCTTAGGGACACTGGGTAGTCATGTGCTCATGTCTACAAGGCAACCCGTATGGAAGAGAGCAGCCACAGATTACTCTAGAGCTGTTGTGAAGAAGGAGGTGATCTTGAGTGGTACCATTTAAGAAATTGTTGTTGAACTTGTGGGTGTCTAGCTTGAAGAAAGCAGCCGCATAAGACTAAATACATAGGATATGTTCAATAATTATCTGTTGAATGCAAATGATATGGAAGAAGGGATTTAGACTGTTTTTGTGATTCTGGATAGAACTGGGTTCAAGAGTGGAAGCTACAGTGGGTAATTCTAGCTCATCTAAAGAAGAGCTTCCCAGTTGTCAAAAGTCAGAATTATTCAAGGTAAAGTCACTGGCTGTTAGTGAGTCCCCACCACTGGAGATTGTATACCACTTGGAGATACTCCATTGGAAGCCCAAGTATCCCATAGAGATTTGGTCAAAATGACCTTTTAGAACTTTCCAACCCTGAGCCTTCATTTCCAGACTCCAAGCATGTTTGAATAGCTCCTCCTTTATTGGGCAATACCTTGAAAAGGACAGAGGGTTCTCCCCTGAAGGGATGAGGCACAAGACTGGTACATGTGATGAGGCAGGACAGGGTCTTGGAGGGAAGCCCAGGGGACAGAGCTTTTAGACTGCATGTTGGCCTAGCTGCAGGTTCCATATCTCAGAAAATGGCACCTCCCACCACTCTGACTAGGGGCTTCATGGCCAGTAGGTCATGACCAGTCATTAAACCAGTATAGTGGATGGTGAAGAATGAAGGTGGAGGAGGAAAGAGGAGTGAAAAAGACTAGGGAGAGAGAGGGTGGGCAAGGAGGAAGAACTGAAAAGGAAGACACAACAGAGAAACAGGAAATCGAGTAGACAACAGAGAAGATTATTTCATAAATCAGGCTATTTTGTTATAGTTAAACCTTAGTTTAAGATTGTTGTTAAGAGCCGTTGCGTTGGTTCCAACCCATAGGGTTTCCAAGGAGCAGCTGGTGCTCCTGAACCACCTACCTTGTGGTTCAACTCAACTTTCCAGTCGATTAACAGCACCATACCAGGACTTCAAACAGTAGCTTTAAAGAGGGAAAAAGAAATTGTATCCAGGACAACAGCACCAATTTGAAGTTTGAGGATAATGAATTAAAAGTGAAACTAGTTGGCTGAGTTCGGTGATTTTCAATAGTCCCAAAGTCAAGGATGACTGTAAGCAGTATTTATCCAGTATTGGGATTTTATCAGGAGAGAAATGAGACGAAGTCTCAGGTCAAGAGTGCTGAGAGTACAGTGCTTCCAGGGAAATTAGTACAAAGATGGACCATGGAACCCAGACTAAACAAGAGAGAAGTGAAGCCAAGAGAGGAATTAGGTCAAATTAGGCCAGCGAGCTAGTTGTCTCTATGACCCTGAAGACTCAGTTCAATGACCAAGAGATCCAGGATAGAAAGATGGTGATCACGGGGTGGAATGTCTAGTAAAGTATTAATTTGGATCCTAGAGACAGACACCCTGAGTTTTATTGAGGGAACACCTATGAAGAGTAAAGGAAGCAGTGTGTGGGTGGTGTGGGTGGGTGTTTATCATAATGTAGGTCTGACATTCATGAAAGGTGAGGAGGAAGTTTAGGGGTGTATTATGGTATGTGAGATGTGTGTGGTATGTGGTGTGTATGTGTTGTATGGTGTGTATGCACACGTGTAAGGTATGTGTGGTGTAGGTACCCAGGTGTATGTATACAAATTATATGTGTGGTGTAGTGTGGTATGTGGGCGCACGTGTATGTAAGATGTGTACATCATGTTGTGTGGTATATGTGGTGTGTGCACGTGTTTGTGAGGTATGTGAGATGTATGGTATGCGGGTTGAGTCTGGTATAGGTGCACATATGTGTAATATATATGTTATGTGTCTTTCTGTGGTGGTTGGTGGTTATACGCAGTGGAGTCGGTTCTGACTCATTGTGAACCTGTACAGGGTTTCCAAAGCTGTAAATCCTTACAGGAGCAGAAAGCCTCATCTTTCTCCCGCAGAACAGCTGGTAGTTTCGAACTGCTGACCTGGAGGTTGGCAGCCCGATTCGTAACCACTACGCTACCAGAGCTTGTTGTTAAGCACCGTTGAGTCAGTTTCAACTCATAGAGACTCTGTATAGGGTTTCCAAGCAGTAGGTGGGTTTGAACTGCTGACCTGTTGTTGTTGTTGCTGTTAGGTGCCATTGAGTTGGTACCGACCCATCGTGACCTTATGTACATCAGAATGAAACACTGCCTGATCCTGGGCCAACCTCACTACTGTTGCCACGCTTGAGTCCATCGATGATGCCACTTGGTCAATCCATCTCATTGGGGGTCTTTGTCTTTTTCTCTGACCCTCCACCTTACCAAACATGATATCCTTCTCCAGTAACTAGTCCCTCCTGACAATATGTGCAAAGTATGAGAGACAAATTTTGGCCATCGTGGCCTCCAAGGACCACTCTGGCTGCACTTCTTCCAGCACACATCTATTGGTTCTTTTGGCAGCCCATGGCACTTTCAATATTCTCCCCCAACACCATAACTCAA